TAACCAGGTAGATGGTTGGCATACATGCTGAGGAAAAAACAAAAATCTCGTACCATAGAGAAAATAGAGTATAAAGGTAGAGAGCTGTATCACCAAAATATGATTAAAAAGGCATTTTTAGAATTTTATGCAAGATTGTATACTGCAGACAAAATACAAGGTGCAGAGGTAGAGACATATCTGGATAGACAGAATATTCCAATAGTTACAGAGGAACAAAGAGAACGGTTAAACCAATTAATAACAGAGGAGGAGATCCTCTCAACAATTAAACAGTTAAAAACTGGTAAGGCTCCTGGTACGGATGGATTAACAGCTGTGTACTATAAATATTTACAATTGGAGATGGTTTTACCTCTTAAAGAATTATTCAATAGAATTCAGCTGGGTGAAGGGGTACCACCTTCATGGAAAACAGCTTTTATTTCGTTAATTCCAAAAGAAGATCAAGATTTGACACAACCCAAAAATTATAGACCTATATCCTTATTGAATACAGATTATAAAATATTGGCTAAAATATTGGCAAATAGGTTAATGCTAGTAATGCAGAAGACGATTCATGCTGACCAAACCGGTTTTATACAAGGTAGACAAATGAAAAATAATGTAAGACAAATTGTTGACATATTGGAACATTTGGAAAGGAATAACCAAATCCCTGCGGTGCTTATATTTCTGGATGCGGAAAAAGCTTTTGATCGATTAGATTGGCAATTTTTATTGAGAGTGGTCAATAGGATGCAATTTGGGAATTGCTTTATGCAGTCCATAAAAGCAATATATCAGGAACAGACAGCTCAGATAATTATTAATGGCAGTTTGACAGAAACTTTTAAAATTGAAAAAGGCACGAGGCAGGGATGTCCCTTATCGCCATTATTATTTATATTAACTTTGGAGTTGCTGTTAAATAAAATACGTAATGCAGATGGGATAAAGGGAATCAAAGTTAGAGATTATGAATATAAGATACGGGCATTCGCAGATGATTTGGTTATGACCTTAACTCATCCAGTGGAATCAGCAAAGGTTTTGATTGATATAATAAAACAGTATGGTCAAGTATCTGGGTTTAAGATAAACATTGGAAAAACAAAGATGATAGTTAAAAATATGACAGCTAATCAAAAAGAGGAGTTACAAAGGGTAACGGGATGTGAAATAGTTAAAAAAGTCAAGTATTTAGGAGTTTATATTGCATCTTCTAATGGTAAATTGTATAAGTATAATTATGAATTGATATGGCATAAAATACAAGTTGAAATGGATAATTGGAAAAAACTACAATTGTCCTTGTTGGGTAGAATAGCAGTTATAAAAATGAATGTGTTGCCTAGGTTTTTGTTCCTCTTTCAAATGATACCAATACTAAAAAAGGATGCCAACCTGGAAGAGTGGCAGAAAGGTATTAATAAGTTCGTATGGCAAGGTAAGAAACCAAGGATAAAATTGAAAATAATGCAGGACATACGAGAAAGAGGAGGACTGAAAATGCCAAATTTAAAATTGTACTATGAAGCAGCTGTTTTATCAGCAATTAGTGATTGGATTAATTTAACAAATGGAAGGATATTGAATATTGAAGGGTATGATCTGGTCTATGGTTGGCATGCTTATTTAGTGTATGAAAAAAGGGTGGACAGAGCATTTAAGAGTCATATACTGAGAAATGCTTTATTGCGTGTCTGGAAGAAATATCAATATAAGTTAAATGAAAAAATACCTATATGGACAGCACCCAGGCACGCAATAGAGAATACGAGTATAGAATGTAGACAGGATGTAATTACGTATAAAGATATTCTCATTATGGAGGGAGGTATATTAAAATTAAAATCTGTGAATGTGTTGAAAGAGGAGAAAATAATTCAAACATGGTTTCAATATGTACAGTTACAAGCCAGATGGAGAAAAGACCAGAAAACTGGTGTTATACAAAGTGACGAAAATTTAATTAAACAAATTAGAGACCAAAGCCCAATGCATATAAAAAGATTGTATAATATACTGATAGAGATGGACTCGGAAACAGAGCTAGTTAAGGACTGTATGATAAAATGGGCGCAGAATTTTGAACAGCCAATAATGATGGAAACGTGGGAGAAAATATGGGTAACAAATGTGAAATTTACCAAAGCGAAAATTTAAGGGAGAACTTTTATAAAATGTTTTATAGATGGCATCTAGATCCAAAAAAGTTATCTCGTATGTATCCGAATGTACAACCAAAATGTTGGAGATGTAATTGTGAGGATGCTACTTATTTTCACATTTGGTGGACATGTAAAAAGGTTAAAGCGTTTTGGATTAAAATCTGGTGGATTTTACAAAATATTCTTAAAAAGAGGTTGAAATTTACACCACAGCTGTTTCTTTTGGGTATAGTTACGGATTGTACAGTTATAGAGACTAAATTGATTTTGAATTTAATAACTGCAGCAAGACTGTTGGTGGCACAATATTGGAAGAAGCAAGGTTTACCTACAATCCAAGAGTGGACAATGAAAGTTATAAATCTAGCGGAAATGGCAAAAATCTCGGCGTACTTGAAGGATCATTCAAATGAAAGATATTTAAGAGACTGGAGAAGGTGGATAGATTATATTCAAAATAAATATCGGAATAAGAAATTGCAGATAGGTTATGAATGATTATATAGATATTTAGTGTGTCTTTAAGTAATAAAGCTAGGCGGGTAATTAGGGAATTGAAGAAACAAGAGATGTGAAATGTCATAATTGTTTAGATTAGGATTGATTATGATTGTTGAAGTTTATACCCTGTAATTTATTCTGGGAAGGGGAGGGGGGAGGGGGGAGGTTGAGGTAGGGAGGGGGGGGGAAATATGTAAACTTTTTGTAAAACTTTTCAATAAAAAAAAAAAAAGAATCCTAAGGTAACACACTTAATTATAGTCATAGGGTACAAATAAGCAATCAGGAAACAATATCAATATAAATCGCAAGGATACAAGCAACAAAGTTACAGTCATACAGTCATAACTGGAAGGAGATGGGTGATGGAAACGATGAGAAAATTAACAGTAATGCAGACTTAGTAAATAGTTTGACAGTGTTGAGGGAATTATTTGTTTAGCAGAGTGTGGCGTTCGGGAAAAAACTGTTCTTGTGTCTAGTTGTTCTGATGTGCAGTGCTCTATAGCGTCATTTTGAGGGTAGGAGTTGAAACAGTTTATGTCCAGGATGTGAGGGGTCTGTAAATATTTTCACAGCCCTCTTTTTGACTTGCGCAGTATACAGGTCCTCAATGGAAGGCAGGTTGGTAGCAATTGTTTTTTCTGCCGTTCTAATTATCCTCTGAAGTCTGTGTCTGTCTTATTGGATTGCAGAATCAAACCAGACAGTTATAGAGGTGCAGATGACAGACTCAATAATTCATCTGTACAGGTGAAACTCGAAAAATTAGAATATCGTGCAAAAGTTCATTTATTTCAGTAATGCAACTTAAAAGGTGAAACTAATATATGAGATAGACTCATTACATGCAAAGCGAGATAGTTCAAGCCTTGATTTGTCATAATTTTGATGATTATGGCTTACAGCTCACGAAAACCCCAAATTCACAATCTCAGAAAATTAGAATATTGTGAAAAGGTTCAATATTCCAGGCTCAAAGTGTCCCACTCTAATCAGCTAATTAAGCCATAACACCTGCAAAGGGTTCCTGAGCCTTTAAATGGTCTCTCAGTCTGGTTCAGTAGGAATCACAATCATGGGAAAGACTGCTGACCTGACAGTTGTACAGAAAACCATCATTGACACCCTCCATAAGGAGGGAAAGCCTCAAAAGGCAATTGCAAAAGAAGTTGGATGTTCCCAAAGTGCTGTATCAAAGCATATTAATAGAAAGTTATGTGGAAGGGAAAAGTGTGGAAGAAAAAGGTACACAAGTAGCAGGGATGACCGCAGCCTGGAGATGATTGTCAGGAAAAGGCCATTCAAAAGTGTTGGGGACTTTCACAAGGAGTGGACTGAGGCTGGAGTCAGTGCATCAAGAGCCACCACACACAGATGGATCCTGGATATGGGCTTCAAATGTCGTATTCCTCTTGTCAAGCCGCTCCTGAACATCAAACAACGTCAGAAGCATCTTACCTGGGCTAAAGACAAAAAGAATTGGTCTGTTGCTCAGTGGTCCAAAGTCCTCTTTTCTGATGAGAGCAACTTTTGCAACTCATTTGGAAACCAAGGACACAGAGTCTGGAGGAAGAATGGAGAGGCACACACTGCAAGATGCTTGAAGTCCAGTGTGAAGTTTCCACAGTCTCTTGATTTGGGGAGCCATGTCATCTGCTGGTGTTGGTCCACTGTGCTTGACAATGTAGCCGTCTACAGGAGATTTTGGAGCACTTCATGCTTCCTTCCGCAGACGAGCTTTATGGGGATGCTGACTTCATTTTCCATCAGGACTTGGCACCTGCCCACACTGCTAAAAGTACCAAAACCTGGTTCAATGACCATGGGATTACTGTGCTTGATTGGCCAGCAAACTCGCCTGACCTGAACCCCATAGAGAATCTATGGGGCATTGCCAAGAGAAAGATGAGAGACATGAGACCGAACAATGCAGAAGAGCTGAAGGCCGCTATTGAAGCATTCTGGTCTTCCATAACAACTCAGCAGTGCCACAGGCCGATAGCATCCATGCCATGCCGCACTGAGGCAGTAATTGATGCAAAAGGGGCCCAAACCAAGTACTGAGTACATATGCATGCTTATACTTTTCAGAGGTCCGATATTGTTCTATGTACAATTGTTTTATTGATTTCATGTAATATTCTAATTTTCTGAGATTGTGAATTTGGGGTTTTCATGAGCTGTAAGCCATAATCATCAAAATTATGACAAATCAAGGCTTGAACTATCTCACTTTGCTTGTAATGAGTCTATCTCATATATTAGTTTCACCTTTTAAGTTGCATTACTGAAATAAATGAACTTTTGCACGATATTCTAATTTTTTGAGTTTCACCTGTAGCACTGTATCAGCAGCTGTTGGCCCTTGCAAGTTGTCCCATTCCCAAGGCCAGAAGCCTTATTCTGACTTTCTCCCTGCCCCAAGGAAAATCGCCTCACAGTCCTTCCAATAACCTGCTGCAGGCCCTGCATCCCCTCCCCGCCCCCAAAATCAGGCTCACTTCTCAACACCTGCCCCTCACTTTTCCTCTCTGCAGCTATATGGCTAGCAGAAATGGAACCCGTGCAATTCTTGAGGCTGCCCTAGTTCCTTTCTGCCCCTGAACTGCAAAACAAAGGAACGAGAAAGAGAGGGAAAGAAGTGGGTTTCCTCCCCCACCACCAAGGTATCACCCCCAATTCCTCCTCTAAGCAGTGCCCCTCTCAGCGTATTTTCCTGGGATGTGGCTCTTCCATGGCTTGGGGGGAATTTGGAAGAATATCACGACAAATAGATTGGAGGTCGAGTGCTCGGAGAGAGTGAAAGAGACACAGAAAAAGATCACAGATTGATCTTGTTTCCTTGTTTTTAAGATCAAAGAGTGACTGAAGACAATTATAATGATGAGAAACCCCCACCCTCCCCATGCAGTTATCTTAAGACTTTTCAACAGATGCTATATGCAGGCTCCCCTGTGCTCTGAATTACATTTTCCTTAGCAACTGAAAGTGTTGCGCACTTCAGTCAAATCAAATTTGAATGGTGAGAAAATTGTGATTGCATTTCACTGACCAGCATCTTACTCAAAGGAAATTCTGATTTGCTCCCTGGGCAGCACTAATAAAATGAAATGCGACGTTGATTGCTGACTGGAAACTTCTTACAAACTTTTTGTGTAAAACGGAAATGAAGTTATGATTTATAGTTTCAGTGATTAGACAGAATAGATTATAGAAACAAGACTTATTTTGTAAACATAGTGTAAGAAATAAATTTATAATTGTACTCAGCTGGTGTAAAGATCAGAAGCTACTTTTTCATTTCTATTTTTCTTTCACCTTATTTTCTCTTTTCTTGCACCTTTAACTTTCTCTTTGATTTCTTCATTTTTTTTCTTGCTTTACATTAACTTGTGTAAATTTTTGTCTTCTTTTAAAAAAGGAAAGGAAAAAGAAAAAAAGAGGCTGTGGAGTGTTAAGTTGAAAGAAAATCTGGCTATACAACTCACATCTATCAAGTATCCAAAACTGGCACTACACCTGATGGTCAGCTGCATGTCCATAAATATTCTTGCTGGCCTTTTAACCATAGAAGATTCCTGCTCTTAATGTCAGTAACCAGCCAAATGGGTGACATGTATATTGATGTACCACAGTGCAAGTGTTGTGTTTTGCTGCCCGTTGTTTCTTCTCCTCCTTCAGAAGCTAAAACCATATTCTCCAGCATTTTGTGTCACATTTTGGCCAATTGGAAGAATTTGGGAAATTGAAAGGTCTCAATGGAGGGGGATTGTCCCTTCTGCTATCACTTCCCATCAATTAATATTGAAATCTGCAGCCTATGTTTCAAGTATTAATAGTCATTGTTACTGTAACATTCCATGATCCTGTTCAGTAACTTTTAGAACCATCACATTGACTATTGTCACCATATCCACAGGCTGCAAATTCCACAGTTAATTGTGTGCTCTTTGAAAAGCATTCCTTTTCTTAGACCTGAATGAACAGGTGTTCAGTTTTAATGGATGATCTCAAGTCCTGTGAGAGATCGAGAAAATTTTCTCTTCACATTATTTATGATTTTTGTAGGCTTCTGCCATGTGTCCCTTATCCTCCTTCATCCCAAGATGAAAAACCCCAACTGTTGCAGTTTTCTCTCATAAGGGACCTGCTGCTGATCCCTAAAAATGTTAATATGTTTTCTTCATATTATTTCTAGTTGTATCATATGCTTATTAAGATGTGTACATACCGGTAATACTCAAAATGTGCTCCCACCAGAGATCTATATAAAAGCATTAATTTTGCAGTTCTCTCTAATGATTCAAAACATGGCATTATCTATCCTTCTCAGCAGCTGCATGCTGTGTTAACATTTTTATCGAACATTGTAAGCACACTGTGACTCTTAAGATTCCTTTTCTTGTCAGTCACTGCCATATCAGAGATAATTAATTTATAAGGATATGTATGTGTGTGTGTGTTTGTGCATTTGTGTGCATGCATGCGCATGCCAGCATCTTTGGCTTTCTGGAAGCCTAATACCTCAACCATTGAAAATATTCCTCATGTTGTTCAACTATCAATATGCCGCTTTTAGGCTTAAATATGTATCATCCCTATTGGAAAGAACAGCATGCTGGGAACTGAATGACAGATTAATTTCTTTTCTCCTGGGCTCTATTGTAAGCAGAACCGCTAAGTTTTTAACTTAAGGTGGTTGAGCTAAGAATCTGATGCATTGAACAAATTGGCATATCCTGCAAGGGAGATTCACTTATCTGATTGCTGACTCATTGTATCATCACATATTTTATTACCTTCCATGTGATTTGCCTTCTATTTATTTTATCCTGAAACTAGATTACGTATTTTATTTTTCTTTTATTGATAAGGTTGCAAGACTAATCAATTAATAAATTATTCTATTTATTGTATTCTGTAAGGCCCTGAAGATATAACTTCACTTTCACGCCTGGAGATCCAGTGAAAGTATGGAGCCAGCTAATGGTTGCATTGTTTGTAATGTATGAACTGCATTCTTCCATGGATCTTGTTTTAATACAGGTAAGTTTAATTTTAATGGAGTTCCTTTTGTTTTGGTTATTTGTTTATTGTCTTTTAATTGTATGAACTGTCCAGTCATGTAGGTATGATGGGCACATATATAAATTGAATAAATAACTATTTTTATACTTGTATATATTGAATTGTATTTGGCAGTTTTAAGCATCCAGCTTGGAGAGATTGCTTTTGAGCTCCTTGCAATTCCTATTTAAACACTCTGAACGGTATCGTGGCATCAGCAAATGCAGACACCTCATTGCTTAGCCCTAACTCTAAATGATTTAAATTTACAGTCAGTCCTAAATAAGTAACTGAAACAAATATTTCTATTAATTCTTAAGAGTACAAGAGCCCAACATGATGCCTGGAGCTGCATATGGATCGCAAAGAACTTGAGTGCAGCACCTTTCCTAAAATTATTACCAACTTATGTTTAAAGTGAAAATTACTAAGTAAATGACTGGGAATATTCATCTTGGATTGAAAAAAGATTTTGGGTAATGAAGGAATAAATTTGGGGGGCATTGCTTTAGGGAGTTGCCACAAAACTACCGTTAACTATCTAAATGATCTCAACTAGCCTTATGGCCTATTTTTAGCTTATATGTGCTTTTATTAATAATGTCACATTGAAAGCCACCAATTTTTATGTGAATAGGCTATAGAAACTAATTTACATTTAAAAAAAACCAGTTGATACAACTCTGTAAAGTTACTGTAAAGGTAGTCCTTGACTTACCACAATTGAGCCCAAAATTCTGTTGCTAAGTGAGTCAGTTGTTAGGTAAATTTTGCCCCATTTTATGACTTTTCTTGCTGCAGTTGTTAAGTGAATCACTGCTGTTGTTAAGTTAGTAACATGGTTGTTAAAATGAATCTGGCTTCCCCATTAACTTTACTTGTCATAGGGTCACAAAAGGTGATCACATGACCCTGGGACATTGCAACAATCATCAATATGAGTCAGTTGCCAAGCATCCAAATTTTGATCATGTCACTATGGGGATGCTGCAACAGTTTGTGTGAAAAACAATGACTTTTTTCCAATGATGATGTAACTTTGAACAGTCACTAAATGAACTATTTTAAGTCAAGGTCTACCTGTATTCTTGTATTTCCCTCACAATAATTTATTTTAAATGGATGAAAAGTATAGCTACCAGATGCCTTTTTGTTTCCCTATGATTACAGAGTAGATTTTTATTCAGCGCTTTAAAAGTCAGGTTTTTTTTTAAATAATCCAAACTCTTATTTATGATGCTCTAGCACATAAAAAAATATTTTGTTCATACACAGATTTCAAGAGTCCTTTTTAAAAATATATTTCCTAAATTCCACAGTAGTGTTGTCCATTGATTACTAAAAGGGTATATGAAGAGTGAGACCAAAAACTGCTCATTTGAAAATGTCTGAAATTATTGTCTAGCATAAAGATTAAATATTTTATTTCATATGTCCCTCAAAATTACAGTGGTTCGTACAGATTTAAAAAACGGAAATAAAGATGACAATGAGTGAAATATTAGCATGTATGTAGCTTGTAACAAAAATAAAACATAGCATTAAACAATTTTTATACTCATCAATTCATGTTTATTGAATCACAATCATGCTAAAATGCTGCAAAATACTGAAAATAATTTAAGACTTCTTTTTAAAAAAATCCTGTTCCTGATTGTTTGGCTAGAAAATGCCTAAAAACTGCATTGTTTTTCCAATAAAATCAAATCTGTAAAAACATGAAAATGACTATTACAGTATTTCTACAAAAAGTCAAGAACATACTCATTTCTCTTAATCTCGTACTAATCTATTATAATGTACCTCCACATATTCTAACTTTATGTATGTTTTGAAAACATTCATATCTATTTATATTTCTATGTATTTGATAGTATTGTGATAGTAACCTGTGATCTAAAGTTTAAATAACCTTCCAATTAAAGCAGGGCATATGAATTCTCCTCCATTGATATCCAGGAATCAAAATGGCTTCATGTATATTATTTTTAATGGTTCTAATGAACATGACAATTGTCTCATCCCAACATCTATTTAGATCAAATAGCAATCACTACAAATAATTATTTTGTCGTCTTTATATGAGAAACTGAACAATAGCAGTTTCTTGAATTGGTGGAATAGAATTATTTTAAAAAAGGAGAAAAATCAGTCAAATTTATATGTGTCAGAGTCAAGATATATTTTGGTGGAAATTTTAGAACATACTAAATTCTAACTAAGGTGTTGTGGTTGAATAGACAGATGATGGGAACGATGGAAGATGTAGGACAGCTAGTAATTTTAATGCCACAGATATTAATTTCTCCTTCATATTCTGATACTGCAAGTGCTAGCATCTTTTTGTATGATTTGTTTTAGATATGATGCATTTCTATAACCAAGTATGCGGACGTAGAATTGCTCTGGGCTTATAATACTAGTGCTATAGTATACTACCAGAATTATGGAAACCATCTATCACAACTATATGGCAAGACATTATATAATAGCCAATAATTAATTGTAAACCAGTATATTATTTGGAAGGTACACAGTCCTCAACTTACGACCACAATTGAGTCCAAAATTTCTGTTGCTAAGTGACAGTTGTTAAGTGAATTTTGCCCAATTTTACCTTTTTTGCCACAGTTGTAAAGTGAATCACTGCAGTTAAGTTAGCAACATGGTTAAGTGAATCTGATTTCCCCAGATTCCCCAGACCTGCTTGTCAGGTTGCAGAAGCTGATCACATGACCCTAAGGCACTGCAACTGTCATAAATATGAATCAGTTATCGAGCATCTGAATTTTGATCACATGACCATGGGGATGCTGCAGTAGTCATGTGAAAAATGGTTATAAATCACTTTTTCAGTGTTGTCGTAACTTCAAACAGTCACTAAGTGAATTGTTGTAAGATGAGGTCTCCTTGTATAGGGTAATTTGTGCTTTTGCATGGCCATTGGCATAAAAAATTCAGGAGGGATAAGCTGTTAAAACAGGCCAGAAGTCAAGAAAGGACATCCAAGCAGAATATTGCAAGTGTCGTTTGAAAACTGCCATTCTCATCTTCCCACTTGTTGAAAAGAAACCCAAACCTATGTTTGTTTCTTGAAAACATTTTAGTTATGTCTGTTTATTTAAACTCTGGAACACTCTATTGATTCACATACATTGGTTTCAATGTAATTTAAACCGCAGAGAAAGTAGGTTGAGGATTTTAATCAGAATATGGTAGAGGACAGGAAGGCCTGGAGGAACATTGTCCATGGGGTTGCGATGGATCGGACACGACTTCACAACTAAACAACAACAACCCAGAATATTTCACTTGAAGATTATTTCCACAAAAATATGCTTTGCAAGTTACCATTTGTTGTTGATCAATTTTGCTGTGAAATCTAAGATACCATTCTTAATTACAATTTGAATACCGTTGGATATACTTCAGAAAGAGTTAAACAAGCTTCAGGCTTTGGAAGAAACTGTGAAGGTGAAACACACTGAAGATTATGTTCAAATGTCTTTATAATGATGCACTGCTCATATGTAGATGCATATTCAGAGTATTCTTCCTATTAAGTCAAGCACATTGCAAGTAAGAATTTTTAAAAAGTGTGTGGAAGGGGTACATTTTGTGATGCAAACTCCTTGTCCCAGAAGTACCGGTATCTATTTTTTTTAGAGAGAAATATTACCCAAAGCTTGCATACTAATGTAGTTCTATACTGTAATACCATTTGCTTAAATCTGCCATATTTATGGAGTTAGCTTCTTTAACCTTTTAAATGATTTAGAAGCCATCATCACTCTACATTTTCTAAAGTGTTATCCATTAACCTTTCTTGAATTGGCTATCTGGTGGTGTTTCCATTAGTTCCCAAGAGTAAAGCTAATGTGATTGTGTGTTATTATTTACCCCTGCAATGACAGATATGAAAAACTTGAGGACTTTATATTGAACTGTTGGATACAGCCTGAAACAATTTTTGAGTCCTCTCTTCAATAAGCTAGTATATATGTGCATGATGGAAAGATTACTAATTTGTAAATCAGTGGGTGTGCTGACTACAAGCAGAGCCAGAATAAAAAAAGCCACACAAATCACACTGGTTGATGGAAGGCTCAGATTTGTCAAATATATCAAAAGGCAAGCCACTTTTTAACTGTAGAGCATTCCTATTTATTAAATTGATTTTGGGGCTTCATAGGTAGAATATTTTATTTTGCAATGACAACAACAATAACAAACTAAGGGGGAAAAATTCAGCATACTCAGATCTTTGGGTGTGTCACAAATAGGTTTTTAGCCTGTCTGTTTAAAAATAAACACAAAGAAAGACATAAAGGTACCAATTCATTATAATTTTTGCAATATAAATTTCCAAACAATAAGGAAATGAGTGCAATTATATAAATGTTTTAGGTTGTCCAGAAAGGACAATATGGGGATTATACCTGTTTACCTGAAAACCAGAAAGAGAATTGCTTACAAGAAGTCTTAAGTAGCCCCTTCAGTTGTTTTCAATGATGGAACTTCATTCTCTAAAACAGTACCTCTGTATCTGACATTTGAAAATCCCTGAAATATTTATTTAAAGAAAATAATAAAGTGCACACAGTTACAGTTCACAACATAATGGGTTGTACTGAGAAGATTCTCTTAGTAGTTTAACTTACAACAGCCATGTGCCTGCTCTTTAGACTTACAATCTGCATCATGTTTCCTTAGAAGTAAATGCCTCTTATTCCTATATCCATTTAATGGTAAGATCCATTAACTTTATTACAAAAGAAAACACAATTTAATGAGTTTGCATTGTACACAATGGTAGAGCCTTCTAATTTGTATTTCAAATGGTGAAACTGCCCAGCAGTGTCAAAGCTAGAATTATGCAAACATCTAATACATTTGATTAGCAAGAACTGTCAGAACTTGGTATTGTCAGAACCAGGCTACCAGAACACTAATTTTGCTGAAACCAGGTGCTTTCCTTAGAAAATCTTAAGAGGATTTACTTTTAGGACTTTGCAAAGAATTTGAAAAGGACACTGCAAAACGCATCGATTTGAACAAACCATCCCCAAAACTTTTGAGGCAACTATACACAAAAGGCTTCACACAACTGCATTGAAAGTTTTCCAAGGTTGCCTGAATGTCCATGTACAGACAACACTTCCATTGGGATTGTCAGTAAAATAAAGTAGCTATAGATGCACACAGAGATGACATAGAAAAGTCAAATGTATTGAAACTTCTGGGGGATGTGGCTACCTTAAGAGGATTGCTTCCTATCACACCCCAAGTCCGTATTGTACCTTATTTACTTTGGAGTAATGGTTATGATACCCTTCTTTTGCTGAGTCTAAAACCACTTTCTCCTATGTTACTCTAGGTTAAAAAAAAGTGAAAGGAACATTGTTAATAATAAAAAGCAGAACAGATGTTATACAAGTTCCAAGTTCTTGACTTAAAACCATTCATTTGATGACAGTTTGAAGTTACAATGGCACTGAAAAAACTGACTCATGACCGGTTTTCATGTGGTCATGTGATCAAAATTTTGGGCGCTTGGCAATTGGCATGTATTTATTACAGTTGCACTGTTCCAAAGTCATGTGGTCACCATTTCCCAGCTGTTTTCTGACTAGCAAAGTCAACGGGGGGAAGCCAGATTAGCTTCATGACCATATGATTCACTTAACAGCAGGAGAGATTCGCTTAACAACTGTGGCAAAAAAGGTTGAAAATGGGCTGTAACTCAACAACTCCCTTGCTTAGCAATGGAAATTTTGGGCTCAATTGTGGTCATAGGTCGAGGACTACCTGTACATAAGTTTCTGCTTAACAACCAGAACTAAGACTGGCAACTCTATCACTGAGCGACATGGTCATTAAACAAGACATCACTGGATCATTTCTGCTATTATTGTTAAGTGAATTGCCCAGTCATTAAGTGAGATATTACGTGACAGTAAATTGCAATTTTATTCCATTAACTCTGCTTATTGGAAGCAGAAATGGTGATCATATAACTATGGAATATTTGGTCGTAAATGTCTAGGTCAGTAATGGCTAACCTTTTTGCCATCGCGTGCCAAGAGAGGGGGAGGCAGGGGAGGTTCGTGTGCACAAGTGCCCACACCCATAATTCTATGTGCCCTGCCCTGTGCGCGCAACCACCACCCCCGCTTCTGGCATGTGATGGCCCGGTAGGCCCGCTTTTCTTTCTTACTTGGCTCCAGATCCTCTCTATGCATCTGGAAAGGGCGAAAAAAGCCTTTCCCACTCCCTCTGAGGCCCTTTGGAGGCCTGAAACGGCCTATTTCCCTACTTCTGGTGAGCCCAGAAGGCCCGAAAATCAGCTGGCCTGTGTGCGCATGCGCGCCAGAGCTGAGCTGGCGTGCCCACTGATATGGCTATGCATGTCACCTGTGGCCCGCCTGCCATAGGTTCGCCATCACGGGTCTAGGTACTGCAAAGTGCCTGTATCTGTATGTAACCATGGGGTGCTGCGATATCATAAATGCAAAGATTGCTTATAAAGTTATGTTTTAAGTGCAAATGATCACTAAACAGGGTAGTCCTTAAGCAAGGACTACCTGTAGTATCTTCTAGATCTAGATCTAGATGTCTATGTTTTGTTTTCACTCTGGGGGATCGCAACCCAGTATTTCTCTACACTTCCACATTTGAAGCACAATAACATTTGGTAAAGATGTACAGAAATCAGTGAACAATCTGCTTTAGAGTTAGAACTGGCACTGGATTAGTGTAGCCTTGGGTATGTGGACTTTACTGAATGTTTTCAGAAGGTAGGATGAGAGAGAAGACTTGGAACTGAACTAACAACATTTTTCTCATATCTGCGTATTGCAAAGCCACATGTACTTTGCAAGTTACCTAATAAACATAGCAGAAAGAAAATAAATTTCTCTTTAAACTGCACCTTTACTTCTTAGGGTCACATCATTACTATATATACTGATTAGAATGCCAGTAAAAATCTCTACAAATTGGAGATAAATCAGAGCAGTTATTATGGTCCCTCAATCTGCTGGCTTCTTTTAACATGCCAGTCAAAGCATGTTAAAGCTATTTCTTTTTAAAGTTTGGTTCACCTTGATAAGGCACTCCTGTTACCCTCAATTTTAAAGGTAAACCATAATGCTCAATAGAAGTTTTACTAAGTTTCTTCTCGGAGTGAACCACAAGATGTTCAATGTGCTAAAATTAACAGCATTTTATATTTATATGCCAGAAATATTTTATTTCTTATGTAACAGTAGTCTTTCAGAAATAAATAGATCAGATCTGTATGATTTTATATTTTAAATATATAAGGTTAAACCATTTTAAATTAATGGAACTGAAAATTTAAAAAATTGTCAACTTAATTTCAGTTTTGAATTTTTTCCTAATCAGTTCCTACTCAACCTAAATTCAACTCCACACAGCAGATACATGTGCTATAAGTAGTTGTACAAAGTGCGCTATGGTATATAGCAGTGTTGGCGAACCTTTTCGGCACCAAGTGCCGAAACAGGAGCGCGCGCGCATGCACGGGAGCACTGCATACCAGAAGAGCAGTTCTCCTGCACGCATGCGTGCATGCGCACTGGTCATGTGGTCTTCTGGCTTCTGCCACGCATATGTGCGTGAAGATCAGCTGACCGGTGTGCATGCGCACGCTGGAAACCAGAAGCTCAGCTTCCCGGGCGCATGCACCCCAGGGAGCTGCTCTTCTGGTTTCCTGTGCTTCCGTGCGTGCAAAGACCAGCTGGCCACATCTGAACTTGGAACAGCAACGGGTGATGGCTGGCGTGCCCGGAGAGATGGCTCTGCGTGCCACTTCCGGCACACGTGTCATAGGTTCGCCATCACTGGTATATAGGATACGGATATTTTGCCTAACTCCAAGGCCTTTAAGAATAGAGTTTGAAAATATATTGCTTCTCTAGCTAACCCATATGAATAACTGAGATTCAGACAGGTTATACAAAAAAATTACTATCCAATTAGAGAATGTGTGACTTGGTACGTTAGGGATGATGGCAGCAAAAGTGTTCAGAGCCTTGTTAAGGTAGGATGTGATGGCTTTTTCAATTTTGCAGGTATTTTCTCTCCCTGAAATATTGCTGCCAAAATGTTTGGGGAAAAAAAAGAAGAACAAACAGGCTGAAAGTGACAAAGATTTGGCAACAGCCAAAACTGAGCTACATTTGTATAAGAAGCCTCTTAAATTGCTGTGAATGAAAATAACGTGATTTCATTTCTATGGCATCACTATCAGAAACAAAGCTACCAGCATCAATTGATCTAAAACACGTTAGTTCACTCTGCATGAAGAATGTTACAGCACATCTAGAATAATAGATAAAGCTTACAGCTCATAATTTCTCTCCTTGCATTTCACATTGTCTGTATTTATGTCGATATACTATTAAGCAGCTTCTCTTTCCACATTAATGCCCACCAAGCAGATTTGAGAGGAAGCTTGAAGACTTCTTCTTTTCCTGTGGCTCTGCCTTTGGGCTTTTGGTAGGCACCAGTTCACTTTCCATGTGTTCAAGCTCTGACTGGTCAAGCAGTTCAAAATCGTCTCCTTCTTCTGCATCTGCCTCTTCACTTATACTTGGGATTTCCTGCACAGATTGCAACTGTTCTCTGACAGCTGCTGAAACCACCGATGTAACAACATCGCCGGCAATTGCTGTCACCAAGCTGAAGGCCTGGTCATTGATCAAAGACAAGGAAAGGCCTGCTGCAGAGTGCCCCTCCTTATCCTGCCTGTAATACTGGTCCAATGGGGTTGGGGGATGAGCTTTTTTCCTTTTATGCCGCACTGGCAAGCCAATGCTTGAATCATCATCATCGTTTGTTCCAGCACCATTTTCTACAGATGGAAATTCTGCAAGATCCTTCGTGAAAGCTTCCTCATGGTCACTTGGCCGATCAAAATCTACTGAAGGGTGAACAAAACATGTTGTAATAAATAAATCACCAGTTGCAGCTTTAATATACCTTTCTTTCTGAGGTATGACGTTTGTATACATTTCTTTGTATAAGAAGGGGGAAAAAACACATTCTGTTTCAGTCATTTTCAGAAATGGAAATGTAAGGCTTAAACAAATAAATAAATAAATAAAAGGCTTGATCTTAAGTGAATTAAACTGTCAGTTAACTGGATAAGACATCTATCTGTTGAAATACAGGCTGCAATACTTTAAATGTTCAAAGAGAAGGAGAGAAAGGGAAGCAAGATGATTGGTATAAAGACTGGCAGATCTCAAGAGTTAAATATAAATTCCATTTTAAAGTTAAGCTTGGAAAAGACCATGGCCGTTAGTTTCATATATATAAATTGCAAATCAACAAAAAATAAACTCCATTTTACTATTAGTCTGGAAAAGCCAATGGCCATTAGTTATAAATTGCAATCAGTGTTCTCATTTAGACTACTGTAACACACTCTACAGGGGGCTGCCCTTGAAAAGCATTCAAAAGCTTCGGCTAGTACAGAATACATGGGTGTAAATAGTGCTGGCTATTAAGCACACATAACATCATTGCTCTATGGGCTGCATTGGTTGCCAGTGTGTTTCTGGGTGAAATTCAAGGTGCCGATTGACATCTTTAAAGTCCCTCATGGCATGAGGCTGAATTAGCTGAGGTGGTTTACCCATCCAATCCCATCTTGGCTGGTGAGGATACGAAGAGATGCCCTCTAGAATATTCTCTTTCCTGAGATTAGGATGCCTTGAAACTTTTGGCTTTTGGAAAAACCTCCCAGACCTGATTATCTACCTGGGCCTCGGTTTCCAGGTGAGTGAAGAGCTCCCTTTCCTGATTAGATTGACATTGATGAATTATAATATTTGTTGGTTGGTATTGGTATTTAATTTCTTCTATTCTGTTTAATAGTTTTTATGATTGTTTGCCACCCAGAGTCACTGGTTTGAGACGGGGTGAAATCTAAAATTTGTTACTACCGGTTCTGTGGGCATGGCTTGATGGGGGGGGGGGGTGTTAATGTGACGGTGGGTGTGGCCAACTTTTTTTTTTTTACTTTTAAAAGCATTTTTTTCCTACAACCTTAAGAGATTGCAGAAAAAAATGCTTTTAGAAGCCTCTGACGATCAGGCAACTCAGCTGGGATCGCCAGAGGCTTTTAAAAGCGTTTTTTTTTCTACAACCTCTTCGGCCAAAGAGGTTGTAGAAAAAATGCTTTTAAAAACCTCTGACGATCCCAGCTGAGCTGCGTGATCATCAGAGGCTTTTTTTTTTTACTTTTAAAAGCATTTTTTCGGCCGAAGAGGTTGTAGAAAAAATGCTTTTAAAAGTAAAAAAAAAAAAAAAGCCTCTGATGATCGCGTGGCTCAGCTGGGCATGGGGGGGGCAGGGATTTTTGCTACCGGTTCTCTGAACCACCTGCCACCATTGCTACTGGATCAGGTGATTCGGTCTGAACCGGGAGCATTTCACCCCTGGTTTGAGATGGGTGGTTGTACAATGTAATGGTTATATAATGTAACTTTTCAGATTTGCCAGTCTTTGTGCCAGTCTACATTCTCATAGGTTTGTGTGTGTATATTTCTATTATTGTTTAGCCTAAATGAGTTTGCATGAAAACCTTTTTCAAATTTAGACGTTAACATCTAGATTGCAAGGCATGTTAAGCATGTATTAGCAAATCATGGTAGAATTCTTTTACTTTAGATAGCTAAAAGTAATGTACAATTAACAACTTGGTAAAATTGGAAAGAATTTATAATAGTAGAACGTACCATCAGATGTATCTGTCTGTGGAGTGTTTCCCTCAGATAAATTAAAAGTTCCATTGTCAGTCCAAGATATCTCTGAAATATCCGTGTCTGATACAGACATCTCCTTGGCTGCAGTGGCTAAGCTAACCTGTAGATTGGAAAATCAAACTGTCAAACATACCGCAGACTAAATGTTGCTTCAGTACACATCATTTTCAACACCATAAGCACGAACCTGCCATTATAGAGTGAGAATAGTTGCTTCTTTATTTAGGCAATGGAGATATACCAACAGATATTTAAATGTTGATATATTTAGGTCTATTTTTTTTTTAAAAGACAAGCTTCTTAGATCAAGAGATTTAGACAAAAATGTAACTCTATTTCTTTTATTCTGCAGTGCTGTGCATATTTGTGTGGAAAGAAATCACACTGAGTGCACAGTCCAGTAGGCAAAGGTTAGATTATTCCACCTCATTTTTATAAAGGGAGGGAGCAGAAATATGTTCTGTGAAAGCAAATAAAAGTTCATGTGCTTCACTGTCATCAAAAAACATATATTTTTAAAAAATATATAGGAACCAACCAACCTTAGGACATAAAGCTGATAAGTCTAGTTCACTGTCATCCTTACTTGATTTTCTTTTGATCATTTCTGGAAAACAAGAGTCTATCAGTTAAGGATTTCTGCTTATTATGCCAGCCAAGTATTTCTATTTTCATTTACCATATTTTTCGGAGTATAAAACGCTCTGGACTTTAAGATGCACCTACCTTTTTTGGAGAGGAAAACAAGAAAAAAAAATCTGCCTCTGCTTCCCAGCAATTTGCCTCCTTGCAGCAAACAGTTGGTTTCATTTTCATTTTCAGCACAGCCTAATTAGCACAAGAAAAAAAAAATCTGCCTCTGCCTCTCAGCAATTTGCCTTCTTGCAGCAAAAGCCCGTTTCAGTTTCAGTACCGCCTGATTAGCACAAACAGCTGATTGTCAGTTGGATTGACATACCGAGGATCAGATGTTTCAGGCTGCAGGGATTGCGATACTCTATTGCTGCCTCTGTTTTCAGCCTTTGCGGGATTGGAATAGGCAATAGGCAGTGGCAATCCCTGCAGCCTGAAATACCTGGGAGGCCGATCCAATCGACAATCAGCTGCTTGTGCTAATCAGACTGTGCTGAAGCTGAAATGGGCTGTTTGCTGCAAGGAGGCAAATTGCTGGGAGGCATAGGCCAAAGGGTGGGGACCAGCAGGTGGGAGGGGTACATTTGGTGTATAAGACACACCCAAATTTTCACCCTCTTTTGGGGGGGGAAGTGCATCTTATACTCCGAAAAATACGGTATTTGCCATACTGATAAAAAGGCATGCATTACAACTCAGCTGTGCCCTTCAGCCACAATTTGCCTTTAAAATCTGATGATCAGGTGCATAATCTTTACACCTGTCTACTTATTTATATGGCATTTTACCCTTATCAGGATATAGTCATTTAAAAGACATACATGGAAAGATCATCAATTGTTACAGGAAATAAAATATCATTAGGTTTTGAAGCTTTATTTTTATCCTTCATAAAGATGGTAAGAATATTTTTGTACTTGCGTATTTCAGTGGATAAAGAGCCATTTTTTAAAAAAAATATTTATCAAGGAAGCTGAAATTGCCTGTTGCTCACCTGCTCTCTCTTTTAACTTTTGGTTGATAAAGTCTTGTATTCCAAAGTTCAGTTTCAGCAGATATGACTTAATGTGGCTATATACCTTTTGTCCAAATTCATTGCATTTGAAGAATGGACATAAAAAGGCACATAATACTGTCAAAGAAAGAATAAATATAAAACCATGCAGAATGTTATATTTTTGAGCCACACAGCTTTGAAGCAGATATTACAAATAACTATGTATCAGTTTAAGTTACTTTAAAAACGATTTGCAGATTTTCAAGGGAAAACTTGGTTGCATTCACACTAAACAACTATGGTAGAAGCCCCATCACTGTAAATTCTAAATGACCTTTAGCAAGCTTTGCTTATTACTGTTAATCTGCAAAACTGGAATAATAATGTTATGACATGGAAATAAATAAATTGACATAATTGTTGCACAAATGACTGGTATGTTTATTATGTGCAGTCATCTGAATACCAACAATGGAATTGTATGCATTTCTGATTGAAATTAGGACTACTGTTTAGTAGAACATACATTCATTAGAAGTGCAGCAACACAATCTCTAAGGAAATAAAATTTAATAAAAGTACTTTCATTTATCAGTAACCTTTTAATTAATTGTTTTTATTTGTTTTATAAACAACTTTTAAATTGTTAACTCTGAAACATATTAGCAATAGCAATAGCACTTGGACTTCACAGTGCCTTTACAGCCCTCTCTAAGCGGTTTAGAGTCAGCATATTAACCCCAACAATCTGGGTCCTCATTTTATGAACCTTGGAAGGATGGAAGGCTGAGTCAACCTTGAGCCGGTCAAGATCGAACTCCTGGCAGTGAGCTGAATTAACCTGTTATACTGCATTCTAACCACTGCACCATCATAGCTCTATTGTATAATATTATACATTTGTATAATATTATACATTTGTATAATATTATACATTTGTATAATATTATACAAATACTTTCAACAAATACTTTCAACAGTTATTGTATTTCTCAGGACTTCGATCACAATACAATGAGGAAAATGTATTTTTTCTTCTTCTTAGCATCTTAACATTTTAACATCTTGTTTCAATTATGAACACTGTGTGAATATGGTTACATACTGCAGTGGGCATCTATGATGCCACCAAAGAAATTCCAGACCCGATTCCTTATGCATTTGAAAGAACTTACACAGAAGATAGGAGAGTACAATTCCAGGAATGTAACTTCCCAAGACTGTGAAGAATGTGCATATGCTGCAGACCAGAAGGCAAAACTGTTTTTTAAAGAGAACAAGTGTCAATCAGATCAGTCGGTAACATTCAGTACCTATAAAATATAAATCTTTTCAAGGGTCCTGAGACTAAGACTGTAGAATGCTCCATCAGAATTTCTTCTTCCCTAAAACAGTTGGAAATGTTTTAGGGAGAACAGACAGAGAGCAGAAGCTATATTAGATATTGTAGGTGGGAAAAGCATAGGGAAGAACAAAGGAATTTTGTTTTGTCCTTTTCTTTTTCTTTCTTCCCCAAAGGTAGGAATAGGAATAATCAAAGATTCCTAATAATAATCAAATCAATGGCTCTTAAATTGGTTATGAAGGTATGAATTGTGAGTCTATGCTGGCATCTGACCACCAGCAGTCTGATTTTTCAGATAATCTTTAGTAATATGTATGTATGTATATGTGTACAATTCTCAATTAGGTTAATTTGATGGGGGTGGGAAAATGTAGGAATTATGTGACTCTACTATTTTTAGCCATACCTTGGCGTATTCCCTTTGGGCACACTCTCTTTAGAAATGTCCATATACAGGCAGCCCATTATAGAGACATTATCTATTTATTATGTAGAAGGGAGCCCCAATAACCAAAATAAATCACACAGAAATGCTAGGACATCTGATTCACATAAAGATGCACTATTTCTAGATCTTGCAGGAATACAATTTGCAAAGCCTGATTGTGATTAAGCGTAGAACATCTCATCATTTCAAGCAGTACTGTATAATCCAAAGGGGCAGAAGAAAATATTATATGCAGAACTGGAGTGTGAATGTTAGAGCAGAACTGGGATCATGTTGTCTTTCTAGCATCCTCTGCAAAACTTTAGTGGATTAAAAAAAAAAGACTGGACTGCACTCACACGATACATTACCATTTCATACAAATGCCTTGGTATGTTAGATGATCTATATCCATAAAAATGAAACACATTCAATTGGACAACCTTTTTTTTTTTACTGTTAATGCAACTGTAGAATATTTCATAATTTTTTTATATTGCATGCCTATAATACTAGGTTCTATTGAACTTAATGTGACTTATTTATATACAGCTATGTGAAAAAGCAAATCTTTTCCACTATTCCTTCCTTGTGATTTCATGGATATGTCTATGCAGTTTTTTTTTTTTAGCAACAGAACAAAAGTCCTTTTCCATTGCCTTCTTCCAAGATGTTTTAAACTTCATAATCTAGTTTACAGATTTGAGATTTCCTAATAGTAATTCAATTTATTTACTAATCCAGCATACACATAGGATGCAATGTTAAGATTTTTACATGTTGCCAAAAGTAAAAAAAAAAAGGCAGTGAAATGAAATGGAAGACATTGCAAGCTTAATTTTACCTTGCCAGGGTTCTGTTCTTTAAAATGAGACATTTCTTGGAGGAACAAGAAGAAACTCATCATTGCTTCTTCTATACATTGGTTCAGTCTAAGGCGATTTTCGGATTCAGACTCACTGATTTGGAAGCTGAAAAAGACAAATAAAGAAATGAATAAAGAAACATTAAGTCGTGAGTTTTTAATGACAACTAATTCTCTACAGAATTGCAGAAATGTATAGACTCTTATTTCTTAAAATTAGTAATTCTCACTACTTCTCGTACAACCATGATGGCAAACCTATGACACATGTGCCCAAAGTGGCACGCGGAGCCATGTCGCCTGGCATGCTGGTTCCTCTTCTGGGTTTTTGGTGTGCATGCGTGTATGACGATCAGCTGGCCTTTTTGCGTGCAACAGTGCTGAAAACTGGTAGAGCTGGTCTTCTGTTTTCCTGTGTGAGCCAGCTTGTTGGCAAGCTGATTGTCACATGCGCATCAGAAACCTTGAAGACTAGCTAGCCGGCGAGCATGTGCATGCCAGAAACCGGACATTCATTTTTCGCATGAGATGCAGAGGTGGGTTTCAGCAGGTTCTGACCAGTTTTGGAGAACCGGTAGTGGAAATTTTGAGTAGTTCGGAGAACTGATAGTAAAAATTCTGACTGGCCCCACCCCCATCTATTCTCTGCCTCCCAAGTCCCAGCTGATCGGGAGGAAATGGGGATTTTGCAGTAACTTTCCCCTGGACTGGGGCGGGAATGGAGATTTTACAGTGTCCTTCCCTTGCCACGCCCACCAAGCCACACTCACTAAGCCATGCCATATCATGCCACGCCCACTAAGCCACACCCACAGAACCGGTAGTAAAAAATTTTGAAACCCACCACTGAGGAGATGGCCAGATTTTATTTGGCACATGACTTTTTTAACTTCAGAGATTAAGAAGTACATAAAATATTTCCTGAAATTGATGAAAAATGTTATCATAAGAATATATTCCACAGAGAACAATATAAGTGCTACCTAATTGTGGACATCCCAGCAAAATTTTGCAATTCAGGAGAGACTATTGGAGCTGTGGAAGGAGGGTTTCACTTTTATTAAAAAAAAAAAAAAGATACCCCAGCAATTTATGATCGCAACAATGAAGCATATAATGGTGTCACTGGAAAAGGTGAGGCTGGAATTTGATACCCAAATTTCTTCCATTTTAAAATTTTATTTCATATTTAAAAAACAAGAACATTCTTCCACTATTATTTGGTGGTTTGTCACTGAATTTTAGTGTATGATCTCAGAAATCTGGGATTACATGTAGTCCAGATTTACACCCACCTCCCTTCTCTTCCCGAAAAATAAATTGAAAGCTCTTAGTAACGATCTTTGCTCTTTTGTTGAATATGACCCACCTTAAATTTACTTTGGCCTTCTACCCTTTAATTTACCATCTAATCTACCTTCATTTGTCTAGTGATTTTCTGTAACCTTAATACCTAAATCCTTCAAATTAATCCATCTACTTTGTTTCCCTTTTTTCTACAGGTATGTTCCTTGCTGTTCTTCTTTCTGTCCCTGCTCCTTCAAAAGCTACTCTCAGAGCTTTTGTAAGGATAGGGCACGCTTGGCCCTTTCCCCATACTTATTCTCTCCTTTCAGTACTAAGAAGGGTAAACACCTTACAAACTCAAGTTTACAGTTTCTATTTCTGCAGTATGTGCACTACGGGAAGAACTCTTATTAATATTAATAAGATAGCATAAACAAATTTTATTAACAGTCAAAGATAGAATTATGCTTTGTACTGTTCCTAATATATTAAGACATCAAAACATCTCTTCCACAGCATATATATAGTTTTATTATAGTTTTATTTCAGACAAAGAGTACTGATTAGAATCAACAAGGCATTTGGGAAGAGAAAATAAGCCCTCCCCGAAAATATTTAAATCCATGTGCAGCCGGTCCCCGCCATTGGGGAGTTAGCGTTGGGGAGACAGAGCTGGAAACCAGGTAAGACGGCAAGAGGAGCCCCATCTTGCTCCACACGCCCCAAAATAATAAGACATTTTCGAAAATAAGGCCAAGTGCTTATTTCGGGGTTCAAAAAATATAAGACAGTCTTATTTTCGGGAAAACATGGGTAGTAACAAGAAAAAAATAATAACAACTGCAATTTACATTATGTATTAAAAATAGAGAGTCCTGCTGCCTATGTCAATGCCAATTATATCCAATTTTTCCTTTTTGTGGACAGACCTTTGGTAATTTAGTGACATATCCTTGCACGTCTATTCTAAGCTAATCCTATCCAATTTGAGAGGCTACACTTGTTCATACCAATAGAAATATTTAGCAGATGGAGCCAAACAAGAATGTTTTCCTCTAAGCTTCTGGCTTTGTTCTGTGGTGAAAGAGCTGCTTAACTCAGAGCTGAAGTGCCTCAGGCCCAGTCTCCTAGTAGTTAAGACAAGCAGATGCTGCAGCCCATCACAGTTCCAAATGCTGGCCAGGAGATTCAGTTCCATTAGGTTCTCTGAAAATGACTAATGCTGTCATGCTGCTAGTGTGTAACCTGACATCTGCTCCAGGCAAAATAAACCACTGGGTTTTTCTTAGAAAGGTCAATAACATCTCATGTTACTGGAAAGAAAAAAGAAAGAAAGAAAGAAAGAAAGAAAGAAAGAAAGAAAGAAAGAAAGAAAGAAAGAAAGAAAGAAAGAAGAAAGAAGGGAGGGAGGGAGGGAGGGAGGGAGGGAGGGATCTTTCCGAGGTTTCCCATAATTTTATAGTCACATGAATTGGTCAAAGTATTCATGAACGATGTCCTTGCTTTGTTCCTCATTAAGGTGAATTAATGCATTGATGTGGTAAGTAAGGGATTATAAAAACATAAACAAATGTTTGTAGTTACACAGCTTCCGTTGTTATATCAACAATTGCAGGTAATTGACTCAGGATTGAGAGATGAACAATCAACTTTTAATTTAGTGACAGTCTTATTTGTTTCTTTCTCATATTCTTTACCTCAGTAGACTTGTCTGGAAATCCATTCTCTCCTATGAATTAATGGATATTTTAAAATCTTAGCTGAGCACAGAAAAACAAGCAGAAAGATAAGAGCTGAAGGAGAAAATAGTTATTCCTACCTGTATTGGTTCTCATGGGAACGGAGGATAATCTATCATGCCTAGGCCTCATAATCATAAAAAACATGAGAAAAGCAACAAAAAGACACAGTCCTAGGACTGTGGATTTGGTTGTACCTCAGAAAAACATTAACTGAAAGTGGGAAACTTCTGAAACTTCTGTTTATCCTGGTCAAACCTCTCATTCATATGCCCTAAAGTTCCCTTCCAAATATTTCAACTGAAAGACCAATCCTTTAGTGCTGTCCCTACTCATTAAATTATACAGCTGTTGAATCTGTGGCAAGTTTTCCTGAAAATTACATGTCTATGTTTCAGAGACATGCACTGTTTCAATCCATGTACTATTTACTGATAAACCAATGGCACAGTACGTGAACATTCAAATAATTTTCAACAGTTTAATTCTGTGAAAATGTGTGATTACACATTTTCACATAGTGGCTATGGCAGGTTTTGAACCTTTATAAAATAGTAGTAGTTAGCAGCAGCCACTGAAATTCACAATATTAAAACATTTTGGTCCCTGCACTGTTGCTAGTCATGAGATAGGAGAGCCCAGGGAAGGGATATACTATGTCATGTGAATGTCCAATCAAGAGCAGAAATGGCTAACTACTGAGCAACAAATTTTAAATAATGACTTCCCTTTTCCATTTGTTCACCCATATAGCACTCATTTCCATGCCAGCAAAACTATCATGCCAAATGGCGTATTCATTGTATTTAGTGTTCATTAAATTACTAACACAGTATAATAATACTAAGTATTCTATTTTTCTCTTGATATTGTCTTTTGAATACATGACTAATCTCATTAATACTTCCTGACACTTAACTGAAAGACCGTTTTAAGGCAAACTGCAAATGATGTTGTTAAGTGGACTGTGGAAACAACAGTCTTTTGAACTCTGAATTATCTAGTCTTGTCTTGCTCCTGAGTTATGTTAAGCTAAGAGAACATCGCCATTTCTCATACTACAACATGAACAAGGCAACAAAACACTGCATATTCACGGATTAAAATTAAGCATATTTTAACATAGTTTTTTTTTTAAAAAAGGTGCTTATTTGGCATTAATGTGCAAAAAAAATATTTTAAAATACAAATTGGGTATTGTGAAATATATTCAACTGTATATACATTTTAGTTAAGCTAGAGAAGTCTCAATAAAATCATAAAGATATAAGCTTGTTGTTGTGATGCCTCTCCTCTGGAACTTCATTCCCTCTGGTATGTCATATGGCCCTTAAGACCTGGCTCTATCCTTAACTTTAGGTTAGAGAGAATGATGTACCCCTTCTATTTCTGTTCTTTTAAACAATTGTCCCCCCCCCCCACATATGTTTGGTGAGGTTTATATATACTTACTGACTTTCCAATCATAACAGAGTGGGATAACCTATAAATTTCATAAATAAATAAATACACACACATCAACTCAAATCTCAACTAATTTCAGTGTGCTTATATTTTCATTATTTAGTCTGTAAGATTGATCAGAAGATTTGTTAGAACTTCATGGAATTGTCACCACAGAAAGGGTTTGTTATTGTTGACTCATTACCTTGGCAGGACTGCTCTCTAAGATCTCAATGAATGACAAAATCTATTAACAGTAAAGGAGATCTGACAAGCTCACATGATCCCAAGCTGTTCAGTGACTTGGATGTCATAAACAAAAACTTGAATGTTGCTCAGTGGCTAATCAGCTAACCAGTGAAATTGCTTCAACAAAGATGTAATGGGAAAATAATGTAAACAGGAAGTTACCAACTTACGTCCCTTTGTGATTGGATTGACCCTGTCAATAGGCTACGAAAGTCTCCTGGGCTTCCAATAACAGTGATGACTGTAGGAACACCACCCTCACAACCTAACCCCATTTGGAACAAATTAACTCCCTAAGTCCTGTCTCTAGGAACTACCCATCTGCAAAATCTCCATCTTGTCATGATTCAGCATCAATTTTTTGGCTCTCATCCACCTCATTGCTACA